AAAGATTGCAGCTGCGTCTGATGAGGAAGATGACGAAGATGAAAGTCGGGATGAGACAGCGGAGAGCGGTACTGGGTGGGAGAAGATGCTAAGCAAGAAAGAAAAACTTTTGGATAAACAGTTCAAGGATCCAAGTCAAATCACGTGGGAGACAGTCAACAAGAAGTTCAAGGAAATTGTTGCTGCTAGGGGAAGAAAGGGGACTGGAAAGATTGAATTGGTTGAACAGCTCACCTTCTTGACCAAGGTGGCCAAGACTCCAGCACAAAAGCTTGAAATTCTGTTTAGTGTTGTATCTGCCCAGTTTGACGTTAATCCAAGTCTCAGTGGACACATGCCTATAAATGTGTGGAAAAAGTGCGTGCAGAATATGCTTACCATCCTCGATGTTTTGACCCAATACCCAAACATTGTGGTTGATGACATGGTGGAACCAGATGAAAATGAGACCCAGAAAGGAGCAGACCACTCGGGGACGATAAGGATCTGGGGAAACTTGGTTGCCTTTGTTGAAAGGATAGATGTAGAATTTTTCAAGAGCTTGCAGGTAATTGATCCACATACCCGTGAGTATGTTGAGAGGCTGAGGGATGAGCCGTTATTTTTGGTTCTTGCTCAAAATGTCCAACATTATTTAGAACGGGCAGGAGACTACAAGGGTGCTGCGAAAGTGGCTCTCAAACAGGTTGAATTCATTTATTATAAACCACAAGGAGTGTATGATGCTATGAGGAAGTTGGCTGAGCTTACGGAAGGAGAAGGAGAGGCAGAGTCTATAGAAGAAAACAAAGTGGTTGAGGAGAGTAGAGGTCCAACTGCATTTGTTGCAACTCCAGAGCTTGTGCCCAGGAAACCTGCTTTTGAAGAGAACAGCAGGACATTGATGGACAGTCTCGTTTCTCTCATATATAAATATGGGGATGAACGCACCAAGGCCCGTGCAATGCTCTGTGATATATACCACCATGCTATCTTGGATGAGTTTTCAATATCCCGTGACTTGTTATTGATGAGTCACTTGCAAGATAATATCCAGCACATGGATATTTCAACTCAGATACTTTTCAACAGAGCCATGGCTCAGCTCGGTCTCTGTGCATTCAGGGCGGCACTTGTTGCAGAAGCGCATGGCTGCTTGGCTGAACTCTATTCTGCCGGCCGGGTGAAGGAGTTACTTGCGCAAGGTGTCTCCCAAAGTCGATATCATGAGAAGACCCCAGAACAGGTTTCTTTGCTGAAATTTTCATTCTTTTTCTTTTATGCAAGAAATTTATTCTTATTACGTGCCCTTATGTTCCTCCGTTATGTTTTGGGATTAGCTGCTTTATTGTACTTCATAATTGTGGTAGCTAGTATCTGTTTCAGAGTGCTTGTGTGGCGCAGCTCAACAAGAAAGTGGGTTCTAGTTGAAACTCGAAAAGAAAAATCAGTTTATTTGTTGGTTTACTTGATGAGTTAAGTGGGTATCTAAAAGTTTCCCTCATGGTTTTCATAACTAGCAGAACTTGTTCTTTTGGAGAATGCTCGGGAGTAAACCAGTGATAGTAAAATTTAAAGAACTTCGCAGAACCTTAAATTAATTCCATCAGTTTTAGCAGTGTATAAAGTTGACTTCCAAAGTAGGGACTAACCACTTGATTGAACACATGGACAATTAGTTAGCCAAATTCGTCAGAACAAATTCATAGTAACTGAAATAATCATATATTTTATATCGGATTGCACCTTCAACTGACTCATTTATCTGAGTAGTTTTTTTTGTGAAATTTCTTCATTATGATTCTTACCAAAGCTTCTAAACTATGCATGTTTTGGACACTTTTAGGAGCGGATGGAGAGGAGGCGTCAGATGCCGTATCATATGCATATAAATCTTGAGCTTCTTGAGGCCGTCCATCTGACATGTGCAATGCTTCTTGAAGTGCCAAACATGGCAGCTAATAGCCATGACATGAAGCGCAGGGTTATTAGCAAGACATTCCGGAGATTGCTTGAAGTGAGTGAGAGGCAAACTTTCACCGGCCCACCTGAAAATGTGAGGGACCATGTAATGGCAGCGACAAGGGCCCTCAAGCAAGGAAACTTTGAAAAGGCTTTTGATGTTATCAACTCCCTCGACGTGTGGAGGCTGCTACGCAACAAGGATAGTGTTCTTGAGATGCTTAGGGGCAAAATAAAAGAAGAGGCACTGAGGACCTATCTTTTCACATATTCTTCTTCTTATAATTCTTTGAGTTTGGATCAGCTTGCAGGGATGTTTGACCTTTCAGATTCACAGATCCATAGCATCGTGAGCAAAATGATGATTTCTGAGGAGCTTCATGCAAGCTGGGATCAACCATCCCGATGCATAGTCTTTCACGATGTTGAGCATACAAGACTGCAGTCTTTGGCATTCCAGTTAACGGAAAAGCTGTCAGTATTAGCAGAAAGTAATGAAAGAGCAACAGAATCGAGGATGGGTGGTGGTGGATTGGAGGGCATTCCCCTGAGGCGCAGGGACGGCCAAGATTATGCTTCTGCAGCTGCTGGTGCTGGTAAGTGGCAGGACTTCTCCTTCTCACAAGGCAGACAAGGTGGCGGTGGTGGCCGAACAGGATATGTAGGTGGTAGATCAGCTTCAGGGCAAGCATCGAGGGACCGTACTAATCAGGCACGGGGGACTTACGGTGGTCAAGGCTCAAGATATCAGAGTGGTGGAGGTGCGAGGGGAAGTCAG